GAGGAAATGTGAGATATAAATCTAACAAATAAACCACATAAGATGAATGTGAGAAATCTGAAGAAGCAAGTTTAAAAAGTAGGTAAAAAGTTCTAAGACCACTTGAAAGGGAATACATTGCAAAAAGTTAAGCCTTGGAAGGGCAGATTAAATGATTAACTTCTGCTTGGTAAATAGAAAAAATATATTAACAGAAGTTGTCTTAAAAATATAAAAATGCTTTTATTATACTATTATGTAACAGAACTAGAGAGCAAAGATAGTAGATTTCTAGACAGATGTTCCTAATGCTACCTAACAAAATATATTATGCAGCTATTCTGTTTTCATTCTGAATGGGTTTTTTGGAATAAATGAAAAGGGCAGAAAAAGAGATGGGAAAATACAGGTTACAAATGTATGGCATTTCTAATAAAACCTCAGCAGCATAGCATGATGGCACCCCCCCCAAAGAAAGACTGGAATCACGAAGAAACTAATGTACAGTTATGTTTTCTACTTACATATGAAAAAACATACTTCCTGGGATCTAATATTTCTCTGATTTCTGACAATAGCAAACATATTATAAAAAATAGAAAATCTGGCTTCCTCCAAAAAATTCACCAGTATATTTATTTAATATATTTATGAATTGCTTCTCTTTTTTGCAAATCTCAGAATGTTTTACAATAGAACAATTAAAATATAACAATGCAACATGCCCAGCTAGGTTGCAGTACCTAAGAAGTTCTGGATGATATGTGAGAGACCACCAAATTAGGCTAGGTAGACCAAAAAGCATCTTGGAAAAAGATAATAACAAAACACTTCCATATGACTGCCAAGAACATGACATAGATTTGCCATGCAGTTACCCAGAATCAAGCTGAACTTGAATCTTTACTTTTTAATACAGTAAGTTAAAAACAGAATAAAGAGAGCATCCATTTAAAAAGATGGGAGAGGAAAGAAAAAAAGACATGGAAACTATTCATGCAACATTCATACAAGGAAGTCCTTATGAAAAGGTAAATCTTCAGCAAGCACCTTAAAGACACTACTATAAACACCTCACTAATATCAGAAAGGACTGCATTACCTGCTAAAAGAGAAAAGGCCCATCTGAAAATGTGTAAGATGGCACTCTGTGGTTCTTAGCACTGGCAGGTTAGCCACTTACTTCTCAAAACTAGGAGAATCAAAGGCATGTCTCTAAAGCACGGAAGAGCCAAACTTCCCTCGGGTTTTAAAAGAAACATGCTGTTTCAGTAAAGATAGATTTAAAAAAAAAACAATATGGCTTAAAATATGTTTATTTCAGAACTATGCCTCCACAAAGGGGGAGGGGGCGTCCTTTTTGCTTCACTAGCCTCATTACACTTTTCATTTGATTTGTGTATAAACAGGGAAAGCAAGTCAATTAAAGCAGTCTTAAAGTAGAGAGATTCCCCCTTTCTCTTCAAGCAACAGAAGGTAAAGTGTTTCCTGTTCCCTAACCTGGCAAGCAGTCTTACATCCAAAACCAGATACATTATGGTGACCAAAACCCCCCATTTGTAGCCCTGGAAGAATGTTTTAGCCCAGTGCTTATGTTGAAGATACTGGTAGAAGACCTGAAGGACCAAATTAGGGACCGATCATCATGGAGGAAATCTATGTGGTCAGTAAGAGTTGACACTGACTTGATGGCACATAATATGTTGCAGATGTTGAAAGAAACTCAATACCATAAATTTTTGAAACAATTCTTAGAAATAGACTCTTTTTATGAGAGAGAATAAAGAAACTCTCTATAAATTAACAGTATTTTTGATGTTTACATGTACACCAGCTCCTGCTGTATCAGGACATCATTAAATTTTCAGAGACTTGGAAATAACACTGTCATAAAACTTGC